CTCCTGTGCTATTGACTGCATTTCATAAGCAGAAGTGGACCTCTCAGCTGCTGAAGAACATCAGCTTTAGCTTTCATTTTGACTTTGGTTATAGCTCTTCAGGCTTTTTTCTTTGGAAGCTTTCACATCTCTGCTATTTCAGTCATCTTTGAGACTAGGATTTGATGAGACTTAGCTAGTGGGAAAGCCGTACAGAGTCACCTATTCACTCTTTAAGGTATTTCCACTCCCCCCCCACCACCCCCTTCTGTTCCAAATAAAGGTTAGTCATCCATGGATGTTCTGGATTTAGGCTGTTTGTTGCCTTTGATTCTTGACAGTGGTTGTGGCTGCAGTGGGCTAAAGCAGTGGTCCAGCTGGAAGCTAGCAGGCTGACCAGAGAAGTCTATGAGACCCAACAACCGAACAGCATCTACTTTGCCTGCCTGCTTGCTGCCAGGTATTTAGCTTGGCAGCAGTTATTGCCATCTTCATGTGGATTTATTAAGGGGGTTGCAGGATTGGTGCTTTCACACCGTTAAGTTCTGCTCGCTCTCCTGGACTTAACCTGCATCAGTTAACTCAGTGATTTTCTTTGGTTGCAAAGATAAACACTATCCACACTTACACCTTTAGTTTTGCCCTTTCTTCAGAAATCCAAGATTGAAATCCCTAAGTGCAGCGCAGACTCATGGTTTTTAGTAGTCTATATTTTATACTGTGGTAAAAGTGCAAGTTGTTTCCACTGTTATTTGTGCGTGAACTTGGATTTAGTTTTCCTAGTAATCTAGTAGGACTGAAAGAATGGGCCTCAGTTGTTTGTTTTTTTTTCAAGTACTTGCCAGGTATAAGAGCGCTGCACAACGAGAAGCCTGTTGTTATGCTTCAATTTTATCTACATGGAAAATTTGCCTCCTTTTGCATAAGGATTCCGAGTGGGTTTTATACTCAAGTCTTGGGTAACTGGTCTAAAGCTGGTCTGAACATTAACAGTTATGTTGTGACACACACCAAGTGGCTGCATGTGTATTTGTTCTTTCTCTTGAATAGTTTTGCAAATTTCCTAAAAAAAAAAAAATTATTCTAGAAGTCGTCTCTAAAATTAGTTGTTTGGAATACATGTCAGTCAGTCTTGTTTGAGGGACAGTCTCTGAATTTTAACTCGAGTCTTGGATCTCATAGGGTAATCCCAAATTGCTTGAAGTATGTGAGAATGCTCTTTATTACACCTCTGTGAAGCCTTCGTAGAAGTGGCAAGTGTATATTCATCTCCTGAAGGCTTGTGAAGAATTTGCTGTAGTTTATGACAGAGCTCCTCAGCCTTCAGGAATGTAAACTAGCTTCAATGACATTACATAGATGTTCAAAAGGAATTGGCACATGAACAGAATTGGGTTTTAATACCTTTTTAAAAATTGTGTAATTGTACTCTTTTACTTGACTGAGCAAAATGATTACATGTTTTTATTTTTAAGGCTAGATAAAAGAGATTAAACACTCTTTTTTTAAGAACTGTTATGCAATGAATGTCACTTGGTCTGCAGTGTCTTTGCATACTTTGTTTCACTTCTGTTCTTCCTGAGGTTTGGTCATAGGCTTAGAGCTGTGCTTTGGCACCAGAAATTGTTACTGTGCAAACCCTCTCCTCATTTCATTCATATTTTGCTCTGCAAATAAGATGCTGGGCCGAACTCCTGAAATATAACTAACCGCCGTCCGTGGTTTCTGGTTATCTATATCAGCCTGGTCCATACAGCAGGCTTTTGCTGAATAAATTTTTTTTAATTTCTGCCTTTGTGGCTTTGTCTTTTGTTGTGTTGTCATAGGCATAGACTTGATGTCGCCTTGTCTCATCACATGTTATGAAAAGGATGTGTCTGATTAAGGGAGAGAGTTTTGGATGAGACATCTTGCTGGCTGAGCTTCATGCTCAAAGTGCAAGATCAGCACCCACCTTGGCACTGGAGGAAATATCGTGTAGTTTGATTTGTCTGCTTTCTTTATCAATGATGGGACAGAGGTCTGAAGATTTAAAAATGACTTAAGATGATAAGTGCTTAAAACCCGTTATATATTGAAGCAATCTGGAAAGCAGTAAGAAGGGAGGGGGGAGAACTTTACACTCATGCATCACTTGAAGCTTTTAGGGGATTATTTGGTAGGTAGAATTAATGCTTTTGAATAGTTGGGATTGACAACTTCTGAAGTCTTCAGGCTCTTGTGAAGTTAATTCTGGTAACTGTGTACTTACTTCATTGCTCATTTGGGGAAGGGGCTATCCTGGGAGAAAGTAGGGGAAACAGTCTCCCAGCCTGTTAGTTTTGTGTTTGTAAAACATCTGCTCTGAAGTCCTGAGCCTGCCTAGCAAAACCTGCTTGCCAGCAGGAAGGCAGGCAGCTGTTTGAAGGAGTGGGTCTCACTGGTACAGAGTGGGGCTTCGTTAGTGGGTTTCCCCCAGGGACAGCCTGTAAGCAAATGTTCTGTCTAATATATTTTCTGCTTAAAGAAAGAAAATTCCAGATGACATTCATATTTTCTTTGTGTTTATAGTGATAAGTACATGAATATTATACCACTCTAGTTTTTGAACAGGCCTTTTGTAACATGGGGTAGTCTGAAGAGAGGTTTTAACCTTTTAAGCTTTTACATTTTCCAAAGTTAGTAAAGATCATCAAGAAACAGACATCTAGACTATGACAGCAGTGAGCAGAAGTACCACCTGAACAATGAGAAGTTCCAAGAAGGGAATTTTGATGTGAGAGGCAATCAGTTGTTTTGACCAATGACTAAAATTTGTGTGTCTTTTGGCAAGTAGGGTATGTTTGCTGTTGACTTTCAATCTTATTGATGTTAAATGGGGAAAAACCCCACTCTTTGTGGAACACTTTATTTGTATAATCATTATCCCAAATGTAAAGAAGTTGTCTTTTCTTTCTTGACTGTGGGATTTGGACAACTTTTGGTAATGTTTAAAAGAATATGGCAAACATGTCACCATTTGCAGTATGTGGTCTTGCTGGGCAGGGGTTTCCATGCATGTACGGACTCCTATGTGGGCCTTGGAGAAGGAGACTGGAGAAATATGCCTTGCACCTAAGTTGAGGTTTCTGCTGGGGCTGCTGATTTAATTACCTTCAGAAACCCAACCCATTATCTCATGTTGGTTCCTGAGGATGCTTCATCTCCTCTACAAATTAACTTTATCCTGCTTATAGAAAGGTCTGCTCAAGTGGGAGCTTCAACTGCAGACTTTTGCTGGTCTCCAGGAAAGCTTTAGGCAAATGCTTGACATAAGTTTTGATGCTGTGATATGAAACCTTCAGAGAAGTCCAAGACCTCTTGGCAGCTGCACTGAAGCATGTGTCTGAACAGTAGTGCCCAAAGCAAAGTAACAACTATGGTGACCATGGTGAGAGAAGAGAATTTGTGCACTGATTTCTTCAAAGAGAAGGGAATTTTCTCTGAAGGTTGGGCCTGAGGTTTTTTGTGCTTTTCACTGGGCATTTGCAGAAATAAAAATGCACAGCAAAATTGGAGATATAGTAACTTTAACCAGAAGAGGCTGAATGGCAGCTACAAATCTTTGAACTGCTTTCTTCTTCCCACTCTCCTGGCTGAATCTGTTATATGGAACATGCAGTGTGTAGGTTTCAACATCCCCAGCATTTGCTGAATCTGGTAGGCGTCTTTGCAGGCTGCAGAATCGACTGCGGCGGCTGGACCCGTGAAGCCTACCAGACTGCAAAGGCCATTGCTCCATTATCCTACACACAAAAAGGGGTGCCTTTGGGCATGACTGCCCTGTGCATTGTGGCACGCTATGAGGCCATTGAGACAAAGTGATAGGCAAGCTTAATCAGCCTCAGTACAGTACAGCCTTAAATATGTCAGTTATCTTGGGGTTTGGAAGGTGAATAATACCCCTGTGGAGTGTTGCCTGGGCTGTGTCTCCTTGGTATGGGGCTGCTCAGAGCAGGCTGGGGACACCTAAAGTCACCTCGCAGAGTGCGATGTGGACGTGTCCTGGTTTTGTTGCTCCCAGAGCCAGGTTACTACAGCTTGTAAGATTGTGCTGCATTCAGTCTTGATTTAGCATGTGCTTAACAGCAACTTTGCACTCACTTTTAGGCATGGTGTTGGGTCTCTAATGGCAGACATCCTTTTAAAACCCAAGCTGTGTTTTCTTAAACATTTTATCCTTTAAAATATTGCACATGCATTTCAGATCACTTGAGCTTGCTTCCTTTCTGCTTACTTGGATTTTTTTTGTGTTTTGTTTTTTTTTTTCCTTTGTGCTTGCTAGTCAGAGAAAGAATTTATATTTTCCACATATATATATATGCCCACTTCTGGTTTTATGCTTCTCTCGCACAGTCTTTTGCTGTGGGTGAGTGGAACTTACTCGGCAAAGAAAGCAAACGGAGAGAACAGACCCATCGCCCCCCGCCCCTTGAAAGAGCAGAGGGCATGTGGAATAAATCAAAACGTGAAGCATAATAATGAGGTCCCATGGGAAAGGGAGCCTTGCAATTGTGTGCCGGCGTGCACTCCCCTTAGAGACGGCGGCTGGGGGGCTCCTTTCTTTCTTGCCTGCATCTCCTCTCCCAATGTCACCAATCCATTCACCGCCCCGAGAATTGATTAACATTCGTCGAGAGTCTTGGGAGACAGGGAGAGCGGAGGGCGAGGGGAAGAGGGCGCGAGCTGGTGGTGCTGGTCCCCACACCAGGGCGAGCTGGGGCATGGTCGGGTACAGGATGGCTATTTTATAGCTGGGGACTGTGGTGACGTATGGCTGAGCACTCGCTGGCTCGGCTCCTCGTGGACCAGTCAGCGGAGCGAAATTGAAGCTGACAAGACTTTTCTGGCATTTTGGAAAGGACTGTAATCTACTGTAGGGGAGAACAGAGCCGCTCAATCACTGCCGCCGTAAATAGGAGACGGAAGGGAGTGAGAAAGGAGGCGAAGAGAAAAAGTGCTTGCTGGGGGGGGAGGGGGGGGCGGCATTTTTGGTGGATGGTATGAAGCCAGCCATGGAAACTGCAGCGGAGGAAAATGCAGAACAAAGCCAAGAGAAAAAAGGTACCCAGGGGTCTAACAATAGCCTGTTTAAATCTCTTCATTCAGGGGGCTTAAAGAGGTTTAGGCCAGTTTTGTCACTTTTTCCAATAGCTCTTAAACAATCATTACTGCATCTTTGGGCTTTCAGCCATCCTTTCCTGCATGGCTTGAGAATGAATTAATAGAACGGCAATCTTTCTGTCTGCGTCTGTATTTGCTTAGAATCTGTCCTAACCCTACCTGAAATGGTGTTTGCAAAAGAAGTCTTGTTATTGCTGTGTCTTTGATGGCTTTTGGTAAATTTGGTTTACAGAGGTAGCATGTGCCTGTGTGTTTGCATGCTGTTTTCAGAGCTGTAATCGGGTGTTCTCATTAAGACTAGCCATGTAGCAAGGCTTTGCAATGCAGTGTGGGAGACTGAGGTTATAATAATGTATAATAGATTATGATATCACACAACCTTTGTGTAGTTAGCTGGATGCCAAATGCTACTCTTATTTTCAAATTAATTTTCCTTTTCTATGGTGTCACCTGGCAAATTTTGCCTTTGTAGAGGTCTGCCTGTACTCTGATAATGGGAAATAATGGAATGAGCTTCACAACATTAGGTTTCAGGATGTGTTAATCACCAAGAATTGCTGCTTAATGGAGAGAACAATTCCATGGTAGTGATTTTGTGGTAGGGAGATTGCAGTGCAGGAGGAGAGGTGCTTCCTCCATTCCAGCCTTACAGGTGATTTATTTGGTCTGAAGTGCTGAACTTCAGAGAGTAAATTCAGCTAGCAAGGGACCGTTTTGTTTCTGCATCATGTAATTTGTCCCAAATAGATGTTCCTCTTCAGTGTAGCAGACTGCTGTACAAAACATAATTTTTTTTTTTTGCTAAACGATACAGCAGTAACAAAATCATTAAAATTTCCACTGCCTTTTTACAAGCAATAGTATACTGTTGAACCTGTTGTGTGTCATTTATAAGCAATCTGAGTGTCTCATAGGTATAAGCAACTGGTACAGAACTAATAACATTTCCCCAAGTAGAATTGTTTAATTTATTGTTAAATAGTTCAGATAAAAATGTAATGACAAATACCGGTACTGTCCAGTACCAGATTTCATTTTCCTACTTTGAATCTGATTCCTCCTATGCGCTTTGTATAATTCAAACCTAGTTTCAGTTTCAAGTAAATGAAATTTGTCAAGTGATTAGACATAGTACTTCATAATCCCTTAGGTATTTCACAAAAGGAGGTCCACTGATGAGAGATTAAACTCTGAAGGCCATTAGTGTATGTGGACAATAACCCACCTCACTGCAGATTTTTAGTAATTAATGTATAAAATGTCCTAAATACCTTGGCTATAAAACCACCTTGAACTCATAGATCATTCGTCAAAAACCATAGCAATTTTTTCTTCTGATTAATGAGTTATATTTAAACTGATAGAACTCATGTACAATAAACACCAAAGAAAGTTATCTGTATGCGTTAGCAGCTGTGCAAAATGGGATGTGTTGCTGAGTGTGTTTACAATGAGTTTATGGTTTCCCTTTTATTTTGGCAAGGATGAAAGCACAACATGTAGAACAGTAAATCTGTTACCAAGTCAAGGTGGTTGATCTGTTGCTTTCAGAGGATGCAACCAGGGTAAATTCCTATCTTAATTTTACCACCACTTCCTAGTTTTTCTGTGGTAATTTTATACTTTGGATCTGTTACATTGGTATGTGTGTGTAACACTTCAAGGCTTTGATCTTGCCAGTTCCCTAATTTCTGAAAGTAACGCATAGTCTCTCACGTTATGCTCTTTGTATTCTACTGACTTAAATTCCCAATATGTTTCACAGCAAATTAAAATGCAGAAAGCCGAAACAGTCTTACTCCTAGTTTCAGTAGCAAAATAAATAGCCCAGATCCCCCTGCAAAGCTACTGTCATTAAGTGGTGATGTAGGAGGTTTTGGGGGGCAGATTTTCTGAAGAGCTAAGACTGTCTAGCTAAGTCAGGTATTTAGATGGGCTCAGTGGGCGTCAAGTACCTCTGAAATGGCAGGATTTTTCAAAAGGGCTCTTTCACCAGCAGCTCTCATGGAGCAAAATGAGCTTTTTCTCTTTGCAAAGAAACTTCTTGGAAAATACAGCCTCTTTGCTTTGGGTTTAAAATGGAAGCTGACCCCTTCAAAAATGTGTCCATTTACTGTCCAGACTGGATCCTTCTGCCTGCTATGCCTTACATGCTTGCCAGGCTTGCAATAATTGCTTCTTTAAGATCCCACCTGGACTGCCTGTAATGGCTGTCCTTCATGAGATGCCCTAGATCCAGTGATGGCACAGAAACACCACAGCTTGAAGCAATTGAAGGGCTATCACAAAGTCTTTTAACTCTTCCTTCCAGAAATTAATTGCAAAGTCCAAGGAGATAAACCAGCCTCAGAGAGGGGCTTGGCGGATGTCATTATTGCTCAGACTGAGCAAGAGAAGATCCTGAGCATTTCGCTGCGGGTACTCAGGTTCACACACAGTCTGCTTTGCACTGCCAAGTTCTGAGGAAAGTATCTGTATTTAACTGTCGGCAAATTGTACTTTTAAGCTAAAAGTTCTTTTTCCACTAGCAGAATTTTACACTACAGGCTTCCAGGTTGTATTTTTTAATGCAAGGACTCCTCATTGATGGACTGTAATAGTATAGAGTAAATACCTGGAGGAAGTTGGGCTAGGACTACATGCTGTCTGTATACAGGGCTCCCTGTACTCGTGAGAATGCTGGAGAGCAATGCTGCCTGAGCACTTGGGATGAGCAGCGAGAGCTGTTTCCATTTCAAGCACCTAATACAGTCAGATCTGAACAGTAGTGTCGCATAGGTACTGGTTTGTTTTTCCCATCCCTGTGGCAAATGTGGATGGCCATCTATTTTGGATTGAAGTGTAGTTGAGACAATTTACACGTGCTAATGTGCGTTATGAATATTTACTGATTGATAAATGAAAATGATGGATCTCATTTAGATTTTTAAAGTTTGCTAAATTGTATATGAATTCCCATTTTATATTTTAACTATTATTTTCCTGAATCCCCTGCCTGATTCAAGCAGTGGTATTACCCAGCTGATGGATTCAGTGTTTACATCAGACATTTGTTTCTCTGCACCCAGATGAGTGGCTGCTGCCCCAGTTTTTTTGATTGGAAATGGAACAACACTCATGTTGATGGAGATAAGAATAAGTCAGCTTTATACTGTGTATCAGCAGCCCTTATCAGAGCTGAAGCAAAATGTTTAACAGATACTTTACAGGGCTGCAGGACAGATTGGGTGCATTTTAAAGATGAAGGTTTACAAATTATTACAAATGACAGGGTTTATCTTGCAGGCATTAAATTAAATCAAAACGTGAGGACTGGGCAGGCAGATTTACTGAGGTGGAATAAATAAGAAAAACGAAATGCCGTTTTGCATCAGCAGTGAAGGATATAGATCCTTATATGCTTAATGCAGAGACAAGAAGTTTCCCTTTCCATTTAACTATGAGAAATACTACCAAGTTGCAAAATTCCAAAACCAAAACAAAATAAAACCCAACTGTGGATGACCATGGTGAATTCACCAATTACACATGGGAGGATGGAAGAAAGCCATTATACTGGGATATTGTTTCCTTGTATGAATGCATATGATGTTCAAATTGCATATGCGGTGCTGAGGAATAATGAAAACCAGCCTGAGCAGCTGTACCCAGGGTTTCTTTTAATTGACTCTTCCCTACTAATGTGCTCTTGATGAAAGAAGACCTCGTGCTCGGGAATGGCTGCGAGCCTTACTATTTTCGTCATATATGAAGAGAATTTTCCAATTTTAAACTCTAAATAGACAAGTATGTGCTAGTCAAAAATAGAAAGAAAATACTTCTCTTAAACACAAATGTACGACTATGTGCAGTAGTGTAACTGAAGCTGCAACGTGAGAAAAGAGTGCATTAATGTGCCGTTTATTTCACTTTTAGCAAAGTTCTTTTTATGCAATGAGCTTACAACATTTTGATGCATCACAGATGTGTTTTTCATTATAGCAAATTGAAAAAATTGTCTTTTCTATGTGTGTTATGGTTATTTGTCAAAATTATCAGATGTACTCCCTTAACGTTAGGCTTACATAGTGATATCAGAGCTGTTTAAAGATTTTAGTATGCTGCATATTTTTTCCCATTTCAAGCAGTTTATTGGTGTTTCAGATCCCCTGAAAACAACTGCTTTAAGTCCCTGAAGAATACAACTGTAGGAAGAGAGGTCCAGCCCAGGGAGAATCTGGGACACGCGATATTGTGGGGATAATAATTTGGCAGGCGTAGTGATTTAGGTTTTAATGAATAGGATTTGGTTTCTAAATAGGAGGGGGTTGAAAAACACTTGCAGAATGTACTCATACTAGCCTGAATGACCTAATGAAAGCAGAAAACCTAGACATATGAGCCACAGGATATGGTAACAGGGAGGAAAAAAACCCAGATGGCACTATGTGTGCACAATGGACTCTGCAGTGGGAGCAAAGGGGCTCATGAGGGGACAGAAGAGGGGTGAGGGGAGCCCCCTTCAGTTACTCTGACCTTTCCCCATTTTCTGGCCAGCCTTGCTCCTAATGCGGTATTCATCACTAGATCGCCAGATCATAAACAACCCAATGACAACCCTCTCTTTGCTCTGTTGGACTGTGTCATTGGCTGCGACAGATGAATGTTGTAACTGTTTGTTTCCTCTAAAACCATATGCTAAAGGCAGCAAGCGTGAGGATGTTGGGCACTGGGAATCTTATTATAGGCGTGCAAGGTGATTCATCCCAATGAATATTGAACAACACGGTCGCCATCAGCATGCCTGAATGATGTGACATGACATGTTGTCAGTCCTGTAGCTGCTGTGTCCCTGCAGGATGGAGTACAGCCTGGTTCAGACAGGAGGGCTTGAGCTGCGTGAGCTTGGCTGCGTGTGGAGAATATTGTAACCTAGACCTGAGAATGCGATTTGTGTCATAAAGAAGTAATTTAAACTTATTTACTTTCCAAACTGTTGGGGGTACAGCATTAAACTCTGATTCATGGCTACTGTGTGCAGTAGTTGCATGGGTGGGTCCCAGTGAAGTCACCAAAAGATATTCTGACTTCAGGGGTTGTGCTGGGCGTGCAGTAAGGGCTACCAGACAGCCATTGCTAAGCAGCTCCTTGCAGGGCATTGGAAAAACTGAGATTCCTTATGGAGTTCGATCTGTCTCCTACTGAAGGAAGCCCTGCTGTTGCAAAACCAGAAATTACTAATTAAAAAACCCCAACTTCATAGAATATTTTCACTTACTGAAATGATGCTACAAAGTTTACATGCTATCTCCACATTTCAGAGTTTGATGTTGGTCCCACAGCAGGCAGTGGTGACTTCACCAGCATCACCTCAGGCTAAGGGAGAAAGACAGGCTGCCTGCTGGGCTGCCCTGAGCAAGGGGCTTTTGTAGCCACTGCAAGAGGAATCTTGAATTGTGGGTTCAGACCTGCCTGGTACGATAAAAACCATTTGGTGCCAGGATTTTGGTCTAGATGCTGCTGCAATGAAAATTAAGATTTACCAATGTGCAGTAAGTAGCTTCAAAAAAGCAGGGAGCAGACAGTTGTGATGGAGAGGGGAGACGGTAGGCAGTACTAGCAAGGAATTCTGTTTTTTTTTTTTCCTGTTATTTTGTAGACAATTCAATTATTATGGCATTTCTTGTGATCTCATAAACGGGATTGTTCCTGTGTAAGCAGAAGGCGATTATATGATCCTGAGCGTGCACAGTCATTTTGGAACAATACTTTCAAAACATTTGAATTTGGTTGTGCTCATAAGATGTGGGATTTGCCTTTCCTAAAATGAAGAGTAAGTCATATAAAGCACAATAATGTCTTTTAGGAAAAATATACTACGTGATACCTACTTGCTGGTTTGTGTGTGAGCTGCAGAGAGGGGAGAAATACCCAGTCACACAGTATCCTTCAGAGAGCCATTGATAATAAGTTTGCATCCGAAACCCAGAAGACTATTTTAGTATTGGAGTTCATTTGCTAGTGTAGGAGATGAGCAAATTATTGTTTCAAATCTCAAGATCCAACATGTGGATTCGAGGCCAAGGTTTTTTCTCTTCTTGACCTATGTAAATGTGGCTGTGCTAAACTCGTCGTTGCGCCAACAGCAAAATCTGCATGAGAGGGCCCAGGTCCAGGACCTTCTTAGCCCCTCACAGGCCAGAAGTTGATGGCATTCCTACTCTGCCTGCCCCCCAAAATTTCTCTCCAGTGTATGGTGGGCTTTTAGCATCGTAATCTTCACTTACTGACAAATTAAGTGGGATTTATTTTGGCCAGAGATGATGGCTACTTTTGCACTTAGCCCCCGCAGAGTGGAACTCTGGTATATTTTAAATAAAGGTCTGCCTGTCTCACCCTGGCAGTCTGACAAAGGCATAGTGGTGCTGAGGGGGGGACGACATGTAGGTTCAAAAGTGGTTTGATGTTGTTTTGCCAGTGGCCTCCTTTGGGGAGCTTGGGAGCCCTGTGCCAATGACTGTGCAGGTGGGTCAGGTGTGTTACTGCACATGGGGTCTTGTTGCTGACCTTCATCTGTCCTCTGAAAAGATGAGGAGAAGGATAACTGTTCTCCTTCACGGTAAACCTGGAACAGGTCTGTTTTAACATACTTGGTCCAGATTTTTGGATGTGAGCAGAGGCTATGTGAAATGAAGCCCATGGGGGTTTTTTTGGTTTGGGGTTTTTTGGGTGGGTTTTTTTTGTTGTTGTTTATTTGTTTTGTTTTTTGGTGTAAAAAGGTAACGGAGCGAACTCATGTGTTTCCCCTACCTCTATGCACAACAATAACCATTTTCTTTGACAGATTTTAGAGTCTTTCAAAAAAACAGGTAATGTGGTTTTCCATGACTTTGTCTTGCTTTACTTCTGTGCAGAGCTCTCTGCCGTGGACAAAGAGGGAGAGGTGAGAGTGGGTGGGGGAAAGGAATAGAGAGTCCTTCCTTACATGTTTAATTCAAATCTTAGGTGGAGTTTTAGATATTCAACCTTTCTTAACACCTGTGTGAGCATTTCCCTGTTGATCGTCCCTCCCACCCCGTCCCTTGGTTTGTAAGGTTATGTTGTTTCAGTTCTGAAACTACTGCGTGTTTTTCTGGGCTCTTATTTTTAAAGTTAATTGACTGAAAGTACTGAACTAAAACTTGCTGGTGACACTGACTTTTTACCACCTAAAATTGGCAGTGATCACCAGACCAGAAATGGAAATTGGCAGGTACCACTGGATGTACAGGAGTTCAAGGCCACACCGGTACCATCATGTGCCAGCATTGAGAGGCAATATTAGTCCTTTGGGGATTCAAGGTAAATAAAGGGCTGGGTGAAAGGGAAATGGAGAGTTCAGAAATGGTAGTAGCATAAACCTAATGCTTTGCACTAGTCCTAACAATTTAAGATAAATGTTCTTCTGTTTTTCTTGTTTTATTTGTTAAGGTTGTAAGAGTCTAGTTCCTTTCGTATGAATACCTGACATAAATTTAAATTTGGTTGTTAATGCTTGAAAGACAGTAATGTGTGGTGAGGGACACCTCCCTTTTAACTGTGCTGCCCAGTTGCTTCAAAACTGTTTACACATGAGACAGTGTAGTATGGGTTTTGTATGCAGATGAATCTATCAAACTGATCAACCATAAATGCAGTAATTGACACTAAAGCAGTGACAGCACATCCGACTTCCTGGTCTCCTACAATATGCTTTCTAGACAATATTTTGTTTGCATTTTTCCCTTGCTAGAAGCGGTAAGTGCATATGTCAGAGCCTAGAGGAGGATTTCAGCTGAGACTTTAAAAATGATTTGGTGATTGATTCTACGTGCCTGTCTTTTTGATATCTGGCTTGAGACCTCAAAAAGATCTTATTTTGTTTTCTTGAAGCTTTAAGATTTTGGGGGGGAATTAAGTTTTGAAGCATCTCAGAAAGTCACCTGAAATCAAGCACACGATTGATTGCTTTGGAAAATTCCAGTCTGACTGAGGGTTAACACAGTGAAGGATATACATGCTCAGAGATAGCATTTTGCAGCTAGCTCTATCCAGCAATCCTCTTCTCTTTATGGAGCTGATTGACTGAAGCCTGCTTGACAGCTTGTTTACTGGAGATGCCTGCCTCTGCATCACAGACTTTAACAGCAATTGCATGGAAATATTCACCAAAGCTTGCTGCCTCATCCTTCCCCTTTCCATTATATTTTCACACACATTTGTTCCTTAGGATTCAAAATGGCTTTTTTTTTTTTTTTTTTTTTAAATACGTAGGTTGCAAATCATCTCCATCATCAATATCAGTATTCATTTTGGCCATATTTTATGACAGATTACCTGGGTGAGAGACTCGGGGCTGCCAGAAGACATTCCCAAACTTCAAATCAGCACATGTGGGATATTTTATACATGGATTAAATGCTTCAGGAAGGAATGATAGATTATGAACACTGCCTTCCTGGGCAGTGTAGGACATGGAGGGAGCAGGCCAGGTGCCTGGTTATCAGGGTCTTGTGCCCCTTCAGCTGTCCCCAGTGATGAGACATGTCCATATGTGCTGGCACAGATGAGCCAGAACACAGAGGAGACGGACAGCCTTCTGTTGCAGCAGCTGGGAGTCTGGCACCTGAAGTGATGCTAGAAACCCTTGTTTCGGCAACTGAACTCTATTCAGGCAGCCTTGGGAATCTTCCTGAAATAACATGCACATAAATGTGGTGCCTGTCATGGAGGAGTTGAAGATGAAAGGATTCTTGCTGGTAGGGGTAAAAAAAAAAAAAAAAAAAAAAAAAAAAAAAAAAAAAAAAAAAAAAAAAAAAAAAAACCAAAAAAAACCAACCAAACAAACAAACCAAAAAAACACTAACAAAGCCCAGATATGACAGTTCAAGGGAAGGTGCTTTAAATGGCTGCACTTAAAGAAATTAAAAGGTCTTTAGGCAGTAATGAAACTGCTCTGAACAGGTCTGAGTAAGACCAATCTGCCAGTGATGGATTAGCCACAGTGAAAATATTGGTCTTTGCTCCTTTCCCTTAGATTAGAGGGAAAATGTCGCTTCAGTCACAAATGACAGCTGTAACATGCCTCCCTTCAGTACTGGCGTACAGCTCCCCGCTGGTGGGTGGCATTGGCTACTGTGATGAGATAAACTCTCCCTTTCTTTGACAAGCCACATTATTTCTTGGGTGCCTTTACAGTACGGATATTTCTATTTTGCCTCCTCTGTCAGTGTCTGAATGGACATCACTAGGAGAGCACCTCTGTGACAGTCCTGGTGGCATCCACCTCTTCTCCTAGGGTCTCCATGTACGACATGATGTCCCTTCCTGATTTTAAGCTTTAATCTGGCACTTCAGGGAAGGGTCAGCATGGGATATTCACTGCAGTGCTGAAGGCAAGACATCCCCAGAACACCTGCAAGCTTAATGAGCCTTTCAAAATGCCTAAAACATTTTTTCCCATGAAGCAAAGTACCATATTTTTTTTTAGTAAGAGAAACTTAGCAATGGTTGTTTAACACAAGTGTAGCTGTAGGCACTCTTCCAGGCTTGGTGGGCGTTGTTTGCTTTATGGCAATCTTTTTTTTTTTTTTTTTTTTTACTAACTTGCTTCCCCCAGATGCTGGGAGGTGTTTCGGCTGCTTTGTGAGCACATAAGGGCATGTGAATGTGAGTATCTCATTGAAGCAGCTTGTTCCTTTACTGAAGCAAGCTTACATGTTTAAAATGGTGTGGTGGGGACTCAACTGGGGAAATACCTGCACGAAGGCTATTGCAGGGCAAAGGACTTCTGCAGTTGTGGTTCAGGTTTCTTACCACTCCTTCTAGTCCTATAGTTCGGTAAACATCTGGGAAGATCCTGGCATCTTCAGTTATCTCTGAAATGGAGAATTTACCTTCAGAATCTTAGATCCACCAGGCTGAAATCCCCACACATGCTGTTTTTGGCCCTCAGCTCTAGGGAGAGAGAGGTTGTGTTTTTGTTTGCTTCTTTATAGCTAGGGAGGAGTCAACTTGGGAAGCGGTTGGTAGCAGTGGCTGAAATCCAGTGTGGCAAAAGCCTTGCTCTCCTGCTGAGTGCTGAAGGCTGATGGAGAGTGAGGTGAGTTACAGCTGCCAGAAGGGTGGAGCTAAGAGTCTCGACTCCAGTCTTCCAGGTAAGATACTCACCTTATTAAAGTCAAGTCAGCTTCAAAAATTACATCAGCCAGGTGCGTTTGGAGGATGGTTGACTCAAGGAAACCCAAATGTCCCTACAGAAGGTTTCAGAGAACTGCTAAAGTAGTCCATGGGACTGAAATGCCTACGGTGCTTTTGTACTTCCCCCAGTGAGTTTGTCTAGACCTTCAGGCATTTGAATATCTTTGGCAGTCTTCCCATTGCTTCACCGGTTTTACCTTTCTGGCTTGAGTTTGTCCAGAATTATTGCCTGGGCTGGCACCTGCTGAAGCAGTAGTTCTTGCATGTTGACCCTACTGACTGTTTCTCCGAGAAGGCAAAAATAGGTGAAGCGAGGAGAGAGAGGTCGGGGTGAGGGCAGAGAGGAGAACTGTCTTCAGGCATGTTGAACAGCGAGTTGTTGATATGTCATCTGAGAGTTACAGCCACAGTTTGGACCAGAGGCTGCTCTTGCTGGTACAATGTGTTTGCACTTTGAGCTCTACGTGTCAATGAGCTCTTCCACATGCTCAGGCTGTGCAAAAGTCCCAAGGGTTATTTTGGATAGTAAAATACTAGAATGAGTCTTAAGGAGGAATAATGCCAGAGCTTCTATCAGTACTGCTTGAGCAGTTCTGTATGTGAGAAGTCTCTTTTTAAATCATCTACTTATTTTTTTTCTGAAGTAGCTTATAGCTAAAAAATACCCATCCTCAAGGATTCCCATATTTCCCTGTTTGAAGTAAGGCCTTTTCCAAAGTATATAGTAAGTACTTTTCTTCTGCTGTGGTTTGCACCATTTTTTTGGGCCACAAGTAAAACAGAGAAGACATGAATTCAAATAAACAAATGTTTTGCCTGACCTTTGTCCAAGAGCAATAAAGCTGGTCAACAGTAACTCTCTCATCCCACTGTCTCATGGGGCAGCAGCGTTCCTCCCGAGCAGGTCTGACTCCTTGGTCTCACACAGTAAATGCCTAGGATTCGTATTTGCAATAAACATGGATGTAGTGATTCGTATTTCATAGATTGCACTCTCTGAAAAAGACACCTTCAGAACACCTGTAAGCCTCATGAGCCTTACAGAGGCAGGGAATTATATAAATGGGGAGTGTGTGTATTTCAGTAAATTTGAAGAAGATAAATTAGATAAGGCCTGTAAAAGACCATTCAGATAATCTGCCCTCACATGAAAAAGGTTTGGTTGCTGCAGGGGGAATGATATTTTTTTGTTCTATAAGAAGTACTGTTTTGGGCCTGAGATTTGAAGAAAAAAGGGGGGTTGTATTTACTGCTGTCTGTTCTTAGTCTTCTCTGTCATTTAACAGCATCCAGAAGAGACAAATCTTGCCTTGGTAAAAGGTAAAAGCCTTTTCTCCAATTTGAATGTCATGTTTTCTTTAGTGAAAGGGAAAAAGATTTAGCTTTTGCTGTTGATGAGAACATTGATAACCTCTGCAAGGGTGTGGTAGATTTTTTTTTGTTAATCATATTATAAAAAATGTGCTTGATTTTAAACCTATGCTTACTGTATTTTTGCTGGAGTATTCAGGAGCACCTTATTATCGTTACTCATACAGTAGAGATACTTGGTGCTTTGTGGATTTAAAAAGGGGTCTGCTAATGGTGCTTCCAGGCTGTGAGATGCTTGTTCTTAGTGTGCACCAGTTCTCCTGGTTTCTCTGTGCCAGTTCCAGCACAGGAGTCATGAGCAAGGATTTTTAGTTCTCTGCTACACAAGAATATGGAAGTATCTAATGAAGTTTAAAGATGGCAGGCTTAAAATTGATAACAGAGAATGGATACCTTCTCAGAAGTGGGGAACTGGCTGTATGATAGTGCTGAAACCATATGTCTCATATATGTATCAAGAATATGAGGAGAATTTGTAATTAGTGCTGATAACCTTCAGAAAGGAGCTACTTGTTCTTTGAGTAGCTTTTAAACAGTAGAGATTGGGATGAAACTTCCTGGATGGATCAGACTAACCCAGATCTCACTGCATTTCACTTGAATGGAGCATCTTTGTGCTAGCCACTGTGAAGGGTGAGAGTGGTGGTCTTGAAGGATTTCAGGTCTGATCCTTTGTGGCATCCCTGATGGCTGTGGTCTCCAAAGGTCAGGAATATTTATGATTAACAACTCTGGAAGAGAGGGATGCAAAT